TGTGTGTGTGTGTGTGTGTGTGTGTGTGTGTGTGTGTGTGTGTGTGTGTGTGTGTGGGTGTGTGTGTGCGGGTGTGTGTGTAGCACTTGCAAAACATGGACTTTAACCGCCCACCTGTATCGATTGGTTTATGCAGCTTGCGGTACCTGTTGATAAGACGGCATCACGCGCAGCACTGTCATTTACTATAGTGACGTGTGATACGCGTATATACGCTATAGTAACAAGCGTAAAACGGAACAATTCGCACTGCAGAAATTTTGAAAACCCCGCAAAGTTAAAGGTAAGAGTGCTACGTATTATACCGCAATATAATATAAAAATATAATGCCAGGTTCTCTGAGCGACGTGAATTTGTGGATGGTCCGATGAATTAATTAATGTACGACAATTCCCCCATTAACCTCGTATAGTCTCTGAAGACCGTTAAATGAAACCGCTAAAAGGTTTATAAGTAAAGGGTTAAATTTTACGCAGTACATATGTTGTACTGCGAAATTGTGAAGACTTCGCGTTCTCGTAGCGTCGACAGCGTAGAAGGTGGCAGCGTTGTTTCGTCAGCAAATGGTAGAGAGGTTAGCAGCAGCAGCGTAGATAGCAGAGGTAGAGCCGTAGTCTCAGATTCTTGTTTCACTAGTACTTTATTGGTAACTACACATACAAAATATTATATACATACTACAGCCTTAGGCAACCATGCCTAGGCTCTGACTGACTACATAGTGTCTCTCTAAATCTTATATCTTGTCTCTTTTGCTTGTCAAATGCTGCTTATATATATGGGCTCAAAACCGGCTCTAGCATAAACTCGTCTGTCAAAACCAGACCCTTGCTGGAAGCAAGCGATGCCCGTTCGCAGGTGCGTCCTATCCCTAGCACAAGGCGGATACAGGAGGACGCGCCCGTCTATTGTCGTTTGCGCGTTCGTCAACCCTCCTATACATGTAGATGCTCTAGGTGTGACGTGCTTAGCGTCACGTCCCGTTACCACCGCTTGCTGCATACAATACATAGATTAGTTCTTATAATATATCCGACGCCTCAGTGACAGTGATATTTTTTCTCAACGACGTTATAACGAGAAAACGTTGAATGAAACGACGTTAATAGTGGTCTTTATATATATTGAATTATATCAATTGCGCAGATTAATATATTTAATGAAGCGTTTTTGTGTTATAAATACACGTAACATACACATTTCGGTGGCCATTCTACGTGTGGTGAACAGATTGTCTTTAAATGCGGGTTTCACAAGACAAGTTTTTAATGTGAGTTCATTGTTGTATGCACACGGATGAAAACATGAATAATTAAATTAAAGAGGCACGCTATAGGATTAGTTCCATTTTTCTGTTCACGGCGACGCCACGAGTTCACAGCCTGGTATATAAAAACCTGATGGGCACGCAAAACAGGTGCTTGGCTGTGTGTGCGATCCTTGGACGCAACATGCGGCTGGGGAAACCACGATTGGTCTGCTGGTCAGGGTACACAGCTCCCCCCGCCATTTTAGTGCTGCGCGCAAAACCTACAGATTACTAAAGGTGTTGAACAACAGTAGAGGGCGTCCATAGGCGGCAGGCCTGAATAAGCATCGAACAGAAATTAATTAAAAATACTCACACTGTTACTGCGCTTACACAACATACACTTTATTCATGTTAAATAACTACAGATTCGTGCTCTATGCTCCGCTCGAAACCTTTGCCAGCTCTATGATGCGAATTTCTGCAAAGTTGTCTGAACACATTTCAAAGACAAAAATGACCAACCGGTCGCTGTGGCTACGCCACCTGACGGAATGTCACGAAAACACAACAAGACCAATTTTACTTCTAATGCTTTCTAGACGTCCACGAGGCATCTAACTTGCGTGCATAATGCAAATTATTGCACTCTATGCCGAATTTCGGCGAAAAAAAAAAGAGCCAAACAAGGCCTTTTCTAGAGACGAAATAGTGCAAAGGTGAACAATTTGCGGAGGCTTACTGTTATATGCCTCCTAAACTGTCCCGTTTTTATATCCGTGCGAAATGTGCGAAAGCTTGTGTATATTCCTGCGTGCTCGTGTCACTGCATCCCCCCTTCTCCCCCTTCTCTCCCTTGCTCGCCTCTCCTCCAACTCTTCTCCCGGGCTGTCTCAATTTCTCACTTTCTCGCTCTCGCCTCCGTTTCGCGTTCCCACCCTCTCTCTTTCACTATATATTTATATATCTATCTATCTATCTATCTGTCTGCCTGTCTGTCTGTCTGTCTGTCTGTCTGTCTGTCTGTCTATCTATCTATCTATCTATCTATCTATCTATCTATCTATCTATCTATCTATCTATCAGGCGCGTAGCCAGGATTTTATTTTGGGGGGGGGCGGCAATGCATGAGCACGTGAAGTGTGCGAATCAGG